GTAACAGAGCTTATTCGATCAAATTTTTGATTATTCAGCGTTAATTAGACATCATAACTTCCTTAAACAGCGATGATATAAAGGTGTATATAGACGCTTGATTATTATGTGAAATAATGTTTCATTAGACACTATTCTACATTTATTAAACGATTATAAAATTACGGGATAATTTAACTTAAACTTAACTTAAACTTAAGTTAAACTTAACTTAACTTCAACTAAATTTTAACTTAACTTTAAATAAACTTTAACATAAGCTTTACTTAATTTTAACATAACTTAAATTTTAACATAACTTTAACCTAACTTTAACTTAACTTTAACTTAACTTTAAATTTTAACTTAAATTAAACATAACTTTAACATTAACATAACTTTAACTTAAACCGAACATTAACTTAACATATCTTTAACTTAACGTAATTAAATTAACATAACTTTATCCTAAAATTAACTGAACTTTAACTTAACTTAAGCATTAACTTTAACTTTAACATAACTTTAACTTTAACATAACTTTAACTTTAACATAACGTTAACTTAAATTAAACTTAACTTTAACTTAACTTTAACTTAACTTTAACTTAAATTTTAACATAATTTTAACTTTATTTAACTCAACTTTAACTCAACTTTAACTTAACTTTAACTTAACTTTAACTTAACTTTAACTTAACTTTAACTTAATTTTAACTTATTTTAACTCAACTTTAACTCAACTTTAACTTAACTTTAATTTAACTATAACTTAATTTTAACTTAACTTTAACTTAACTTTAACTTAACTTAAATTTAACTTAACTTTAACTTAACTTTAACTTAACTTTAACTTAACTTAACTTTAACCTAACTTTTACTTAACTTTAACTTAACTTTAACTTATCTTTAACTTAACTTTAACTTAACTTTAACTTAACTTTAACTTAACTTTAACTTAACTTAACTTAAACTTAACTTAACTTAAACTTAACTTTAACTTAACTTTAACTTAACTTTTACTTAATTTTAACTTAACTTTAACTTAACTTTAACTTAACTTTAACTTAAATTTAACTTAACTTTAACTTAACTTTAACTTAAATTTTAACTTAATTTTAACTTAATTTGACTCAACTTTAACTCAACTTTAACTTAACTTTAACTTAACTTTAACTTAACTTTAACTTAACTTTAACTTAACTTTAACTTAACTTTAACTTAACTTTAACTTAATTTTAACTTAACTTTAACTTAACTTTAACTCAACTTTAACTCAACTTCAACTTAACTTTAACTTAATTTTAACTTAACTTTAACTTAACTTTAACTTAACATATACTTAACTTTAACTGAACTTTAACTTAACTTTAACTTAAATTAAATTAACTTAACTTAACTTTAACTTAACTTTAACTTAACTTTTACTTAACTTTAACTTAACTTTAACTTAACTTTAACTTAACTTTAACTAAACTTTAACTTAACTTTAACTTAACTTAACTTTAACTTAACTTAACTTTAACTTAACTTTAACTAAACTTTAACTTAACTTTAACATTAACATAATTTTAACTTAACTTTAGTTTTTACATACTTAATTTTAACGTAACTTAAAAATAACCTTAACTTTAACATTTACTTAATTTTAATAAAACTTTTCCTTAACTTTGTAACACAAACTTTACCTTAACCTTTAACATAAACATCGGGATCCGGCATGCGTTGCATCAGTAAGGATGCTTAACTCAGCCGGGTTCCTCCAGCGGATCAATTTTGGAAAATAATTACATCAAAATTGATCCGCTGGAGGAATCCGGATGAGTTGATGCGTTGCAGTTGAGTTAACTTTAATATAATTTTAACATAGCTGTATTATAAGTTTAATTTACCTACACATAACTTTAACTTAATTTTACATTAACTTTAACTTACTTCTCAATCGGGTTCCGGCATCGGATTCTTATCGGAATCCGGCATCGCATTCCCTATTCGAATCCAGCATCTGATGTCCTAATGTTGTAATCCAGCAGGATGTCCTTGAAAAGAAAACAAAATAAAAATTATTGTACATACTGTGCATCACTTACGAAAATCACAAACAGTTCATTTACCACCAAAGGAATTTCTTCGGATGCCGTATTGGGATCCCGCTTCGGATTCCCAATGTCCACGTATGTCCGGATGTCCTGAAAAACAAAATTTTTGAAACATTATTTCACTGTGAATCACAAACACATTACAGTTCACATTTCCATCATTTAAAAAAAATCACATTTTCAACGCGTATCAGGAATGCTGGAATCCAGATTTCTATGAAAATTTATCTTACCTCTTGACACGATTAACGTCTATCCAGCAAAATGTTCAGCTGCACCAACCGATTCTCACTCCCGGAACTGGACATCGGAGGCAAAATAAAATGTTTCCCGTCACGACCCGACCGAACTGACGTGCGAGATTTGTAAAATGGCTGTCAGCGTAATCAGCCTTCGCAAAACAAAAACGCAAAAAAATTGCTAAGTTCCATCCGCCATTTGGTCGCCTGGCGGATGAAATTACTCTAACGGGGCGAGTCGCCCTTCGTCCGCATCCCGGAGCGCCATTTGGTCGCCCGGCGGATGAAATTACTCTAGCAGGGCGAGTCGCCCTTCGTCCGCATCCCGGAGCGCCATTTGGTCGCCCGGCGGATGAAATTACTCTAGCGGGGCGAGTCGCCCTTCGTCCGCATCCCGGACAAAGGGCGAACGATCAGTCTTCAAGTCGCTCAATGTCAAATGACGTCACTTTTTCGCCGGCAATTCGTGTGGGCTGCAGTGCACACAGAGTCAGCGTTGCCAGATATACCGATTTATCGGTATTTTTACCGATTTCCGAACTAAATACCGATATACAGATAACGTTCCTAAGATTGCCGATTTTTGAGGTTTTATACCGATTTTTTAAACAATCAAATGATTATTTGAGTAAGTTTCGATAAATTAAAGAATGTTTCAATAACTTCTGTTGAAATTCAACCAGCGAACTCCTGTGACCTTAAGGAAACATCATAGATATTTTGGATACATCACAAGTCCAAAGAATTCTGGAAAATTTAATGGTTTTCAGGACAGTTCCATTAGTTTCAGGAGAATTGAGACTATTGAGAGAACTTTAGGAAGCTCCGAGAACATCAGAACAGATCAATAAATTTCAAGAAAATCGCTGAAATTTAAAGGAGTTCCGAGAAACTCAGGCAATTTCCGAAAACTTCAGCAATGTTCCGAGGGGCTCATGCAAATTTAAAAAAACGTAGGGGAAGTTACATGAACATTAGCACATTGTGAGAACATTTTATGGAAAGTTCCATGCTTATTAATGGCAGTGTCGATAACTTTTAAAAATTAGAAAAATCAGGAAGATCAGAGAACTTTAATGCTAATGTTACAATAAATTCAAAAAAAATGTGAGAGCGCCTAAGAAATTTCGTAATCTTCAAGAAATTCTAGAGACCTTCAAAGTTGATTAGAGATATTCCGGTAGTCTCATCATAATCCAAGTATTTCAAAGATGATCAGAGTACTTCAAAACAGCCCTATTCAATTAAGGAACATTACAATAACTTTAAAGGAATTCCGAGGAATTATGGAATATTCCTAAGTACATTTTAGGAATGTTCCAAAAACTTCAGGGGCATTGCGGGGTCTTCAGCAGTGTTGGAAAAGTTCGCGATATTTCACGAAGTTCTCCAAGGGAAAAGTTCGCGAGTCAGAGTGAGTTTTCGGGAACTTTTCCATCACTGGTCTTCAGGGATGTTTTATGACCATTTGGAAAATTTTCTGGATCATTAGAACATCCCCAAGAGCTCTTTCTTCCGGAATTATGTCCTTGTTTGTTTCGACTGTTCCGTTAGCGCTCTGGCTTCCAACTTCCTCCAGATTTTTTTTCCAATCTACATTAAGAAGTTTCTGCCAGCGTCTCCAGGAAGTTTCTTCCGTCTTCTCCAGGAAGTTCAATTAAACTTCTCCCAGAAATTTCTTTAGTACAGTTCTGGAATTTTGTCCAGTTGGTTTTTTTACTTCTATTTGAAGTTTTTTCCGAGCTTCTGGCTTCCCTTGGAAATGGCTTCTTCTGGAACTTACTTCTGATTTCCGAAACTTTTCTGCCTTCCTTTGTATGTGAAATCCGAAAGTTTCTTTAAATTATCGCCAGAAGATTCTCAATTTATGTCTTGGAAGTTCCGCGGATGTTTTTGCGACTTCTCTCAGAACTTTCCTCAAATTTCCTCCAGGAGAGCTTCTTTCTTCTTTCTCTGGATGTTGTTTTCTGCTTCTTAAAGAAGCTAATTCAAACATTCCCGGAATTTTCTTCCGGAATGTTTCGATCATAGTTCAAAAGTTAAAACTTTCGTTTTCAGAAACGGCAAAAATATAAAATTAATTAAAATAGTAAATACCGATTTTATAAAACCTTTGATACCGATAAGCTTTAAAACATTCTGGCAACGCTGCACAGAGTCAATGTTATAATAGATCTTGCTGGCCAATACTTGGGATCTCGTCAACTGCTGTGGATTGGTACAGATCTTACTGGGTGAATCGCTATGTACATTGTCTAGATTGGCGCGTTGGAATCGGATGTTTTCTCAAACAACTCGCAAGACTAGGACCGCTACTGTTTTTGATCTTTTTAAACGTCAGAAGCTTCGTTATCGACATGAAATTTTTCAATTCTGAATGAAAGTCATCCGATGCTAACGCAAAAAATCTGAGGGCACATTGCGCATCTCGAAACAAAAGAATTGACGAAAAATAAATCACAAACAGTGCTGCTTGTTCGCAACATTTTCTCTTGGCGAGACTCTTATTATAACATCGACTCTGCAGTGCACAAAGTACGTTCGTGCCCCCGCAGCTGAATCATATTTTAGTACAAATTACACTCAATGAACGGAACGGAAAACGAAACTTGTCAAACGCAAAACAGAAGCGGATTGAAAGAAGAAAAAAAGACGAAAACCGAACGGAGCCACTAAAGAGGAGAGTGCAAAAAGAAAGGAATTCCGAATCCAAGCTGTCACCGAAATTCAAAGATTTTACCCAAATTGGCCGGAAAATAGTGAAAATCCCCCGTCCGACCGTTTCCGATTGTAGCCCGGAAGGAAGCGCACCCGGTGGATGTAAAAATCGCTCCGCGTAAGTGCTTGAAAGCGGGAAATTTACAATTAAGTGAAACGCCAAAAACCAATTACCTGGGAGAGCCTGCCGTGCTGTGCTGCTTGTGTTTTGAATGACCAGTTGCATCGGCGGAGGGTACGGTAAGTTTAGGGGATTTACGTTTATGTTTTGTCCGGATGGTTGACCGAAGTTTGAACGATTCCAGATGGCCCCCTAGGTGGAATGCATTGCGATTACTTACCACCGTCGCAGCAGCAACAGCAGCATCCACAAGTCGGAAGAAGAGGTATGCCGAAAAAGTCGGAACCGGGTGAAATTACTGGACCGGGTAGTCGTAGTAAGAAGATGAACAAATTGGAAACGGCTGGCGGACCAGTACAACAACAGCAGCAACATTCAACGGGAGGACCAGGTGGGGACAACGATTTGATGAGCAGCTTCGGGCTGAAGGAAGATAGTTCACCGATTATGAAGGGAGGAGCTCCGGGCATCGGACCAAAATCTTCAGACTCGTGCAGTATCAACAGTAGTGTGGCAAACAGTGGACCAGGAATTGACACGATGTCGAAAATGGGTCCCGGTGGTGGTCCGGATGGTCATCCGGAGGGTGGCAAAATGAATCAAGGAATTCCGGGAATGATGTCGAATAAACCATCGAATAAGCTAGAGTATACGCAGCAGCAGAGTCAAATTTTCGTATTTAGCACGGGGTTGGCGAACAAAGGAGCGGAAGCGGTAATGAGTGGCCACTTTAATTCGATTATTGCATATCATTGCGCCCAGATGCAGAAACAGAATCGACTGGGACCATGTGGGCCGGATGATGGCGTGGGAGGGGCGATGTCACCATGGATGGATCACGGCCACGGTTCACCTGACCATCACATGCGGATGAATGCCGGTCCCGGTGGTCCCGGAGGTCCTCCGGATGGTGTAAAGAAGTCGGCTACTATTCATCACACGCCGAATTCCTGCCTGGAGAATGACAACTCGGTGCCAATGTATGCAAACGAACATCACATGGGACGGATGGGTCCCGGGCCGGATGGTGGTCCAATGGGTGGGAAGAAATCGGCCACAATTCACCATACCCCAAATCAGTGCATGGATCAAGACGGATCGCTTCCAATGTACCCCAATGATGGTCACCATATGCGGATGGCAGGACCGGATGGAATGTCCAAGCCTTCGACGATACATCATACTCCAAATTCTTGTCTAGATGGGCCTGATCAAACGGGAGACCATTCTGGAGGTCCGGGTGGTCATCAAGGCCCAGTAATGAAAATGGAAAATCCTTCCCCAGGAGGGCCCGGCGGTCCTGGTCCTGGAAGTGGAGGAGGTCATTCCAGTTCAACTATCATAGATCAGATGAATTCCCTGGTGGCTTCCCTACCATTGATGAAAGGAGGAAACGTTCTCTCACAATCGCGAGCTCACCCTCAGCCTTCGCTGCAAGGCGTCAAAGTACCGGATGAGAACCTCACGCCTCAGCAGCGGCAGCATCGGGAGCAGCAGTTGGCCACAATTCGACAGATGCAGAAAATGTTCTTCCCTGAGCAGCGAGGAATGATGGACCCACATGGTATGGGCATGAGGCCTCAGTTCCGAGGTGGAATGCCCTGTCCAGACTTTGGAGGTCCACCAAATCGACCACTGAATCCGGCTTTCATGAACACTCCTTTGGGGGCAAATGGTCCAATGGGTCCTGATGGACCTGGGCCCGGTATGATCAACGAACAGATTCCTCCAATGCAATACAACAAACCAGGTATGATGAATCCCGGAATGTACATGGGTGGTCCGGGTGGTGGGCCGATGGGCCCAATGGGTGGCCCTATGGGTCCAGGAGGTGGCGGTCCTATGGGGCCTGGAGGTCCCATGGGCCCAATGGGTCCTGGTGGCCCAATGAATCGTATGTACAAACAAGACCCAGATCCCATATTCCCTCCGATGAGTGAAATGGGAGGAGGGTACAACAACATGAACAATCACGGCGGACCAGGGCCTGGTCCAGGAATGTTTAATCCTGGAATGCAACGAATGGGTGTCCCTGGAGGTCCTGGTCCAGGTGGGCCTGGAGGTCCGAACATGATGCCCAAAATGTCCGACCAAGGTGGACCCCTGCCGCATTCTCCCCTCGTTGACGATGTTGACCCTCTGAAAGCCGGAGGACCTCACCAAATGATGCTTCCGAATGCACCTCAGCCTCAACAGCAGCAACAACAGCAACCAGGAACACCGGGAGCGAACGGCCCTGGTGGCAGCAATGGAACTCCCAACCCGCAAGGTGCTCAAAACTCAACCAATAATGGCAAATCGAAGGAACAGTCCGTTTCGCCGGAACACCATCAGCAACAGCAGCAGCAAGGTGGGCCTGGTAGCCAGCAAGGACCATTGACACCTCAGACGCCCCAGGGCGGGCATTCGACTCCGGGTGGCGCCGGTGGACCCCTAACGCCCCAAACGTCGATGGCCAACACCTAAGGGTAAGTAAGTTGCAAATGAATAATTTTCTTCTGAAAATCTGCCTTATGAGATAAAACACAAACCCTTCGGGTCGGGTCGGGAATGGGAGTACGGAACGGAAAAGTAATAAAACATAGGAACTGCACGCACGCTCAGCAGCGCGGTCACGTGCGGTGGAATCTTTGAGCATGCGTGGGAGCGAGAGCATAAAGCAAGCAAAATAGTTAAGTGACAATGTGGTTAGGTAAAACAAACAAAAAAAAAATAACGAACGACAACAAACGTGTACGTGTATAAGCTTTTTCTTTTCTTTATCATTGAACAAAATTGCCCTCTTTGGTGTTTATTTTATGCATTTTGGGAAAACGTACCATTTGGTTGGATGAATCAAACAATAATTACACTATACGACAATTAAATTGTGTAGCAAACGTTGAATAACCTGTGCGGTGAAGAATCCCTTTTTTGAGCCTACGTTTATTTTTTTATTTTTTTTCAATCTTAAATTTAGATTTGTCAACTCCCAAGTGCAGCGTTTTCGATTGATTACATAAATAAGACTAACACAGAAAGTGAAAGTAATAATTAACAGTTAAATAAAAAGTGTAATAATTTTAAAGATGAAGGAACTAGTAGGGATTTGTCGGTGGTGGATATCACAGGTCCGATGTTTTTTCGATTAAGTAAAACTTTTCAAATTGTGTAATAATGTGCTATCCAAAATTTAGACTTTTCAATCTTACCCAACATTTGGGAAACTTAGTATTGGTATCCCTTTTTCTCTCACTGAAATGTTAATTCAAAGCGGCGCTACTAAAATGTTGATGTAAGATTGAAATAGTGTATATACTATCTACTGTGGAGGTACCATTTTTGACGCAGGTCCAAAATTGACGCAGACAAGTATTTCGTGAAATAGCTCACAATAATCAACCACTAGCGTTTTATTAGCACTCAAGCTTTACATTCGCCACGAAAAACTGTTTGTGGATAGTCTTTTTTGGCCAATTGATGAGCGAAAGAAAAATTACATCTGTTAAATGCGTCAAAATTCGTCTACCTTAACATTTAACTAAAAAAGGTTTTACTACGATACTTGGTTCATATAAGTTTTGGATTTCCAAAGTATGTGAATTTCGGAAAAATCAGAGAAGTTGAACCAACATTTTCCGGGATGTTAGGTTGTTTGTCTTAATTCAAAACCAGTAAGAAAAACCACTCTGAAATGTTGACCAGTGAAAGATAAGAAGTATTGAAGTATAACAAAATAGCAAGAAACTTTTTCATTACCCAGACAATAGATTTTCCTGATCTTCCTTGCGATTTGCCTCCATCGTGAAAATATTTGTGGAAAACATTTTTCAGATTATATTTTTGTAAGGTTTGCTGAGATAATTTCCTTATCATTTCACTTCACAACGGTCTTTCTACGCTAAATATTGAATTTGCAAAGTACTGATGTGAGGGAAAATCCGAAGACTAAAATTTCCCGGGATAATTAACCACCGACAAACCGACATGACACTTAATTCTGCATATACCCGAAAATCGTAAACGGCCGGTTTAAATGTACAGTGATCCGAACTGTCAGAACCATAGCATTTTTTCTATCAAGATAAAAATAATTTGTCCAGAATAGATCAGACACGAACCAAATCATAACTTTTACATGCGGGTTCATGGTTTAGTTAAATATTTCCCGCGAACTTCGAGCCAGATGTCAGTAGTGTGCTTTGGTCAGAAATTTTATTATTTTTGCTATGGTCATTCATGTCGATGAATTAACCACTACGATTTTTTTTTTCGTTCATATAATCATAAATCTTACCTGTGGGTAAAATTTCATGAAACTCTGAGACCCTTCGGTTCAAATCTGTCCGATAATAAAAAAAAATATTCCCATAACCAAGATTTCAAGTTCAGAAGAAAGGTTTGTGTATTTGCTACTATATCTGTCGCATGGATTCTGTCAAATTTACCAGTCTTATTGATATGATGTCTTCGATTGAAATCAGTAGCTACAATAATTCCACAGACAAACAGGTATAACATTCGTAAGTTTTTCATCGAATTCGCATTTAACGGTCAATTAACTGTTTCTTAGTTGGCAGTACCGCTACCAGTGGTGCGTATAGTAAATTTCCTTGCATTTGACGTTTACACACTATCACCATCTGTTGAGCGTACTGCCCATCAAAGAGTACTCAACAGATGGGGGTAGTGTTTCAGCGACATGTTTTACAGTGAGAAATATTCAATGCGTTATGTCTGTTTGTCATGATACCTTCATGATTCTTTTTCGTATTCGGAGTTTTACTAATTTATTTATTTTTAACACGTAAAGCATGAGGCCCGAGATATTAGTTACTGTCAAACGCTATAGATTTGGTCAGGGTTGTCTGGCCCCTGAGAGATCTGCTCGGTACACGAAAGCTCAACATTGCAAACAGTTCGGGTCATCAGTTTCGCCATTCAACATATTAGCATATATCCGGATACTGTGGCAAGTTGTCAGGATCTCTCCACGGCACGTTTCTCAGTGCAAGACGAATGAATTGTTTCTGAACCCGTTCGATCCTTAAGGCAAATCTGACAATTAGACAATATATTTTACTGTCACTTTGCCGTAATGCATCACTAACGGATACAATGTGCGTGATCCTTTAGGCAATAAGTGACCTGGCGAGGAAGCCAAACGACAGACGCATTTTCCAAAATTGGACAGACAAGTGCACAGTTGTGGGTCCGAAAAATCCTTCGCAACCTTGGAAATAAAGTACAACCATAGAGGTAACTCTAAGACCAGAAGGTCCCGAAGAAACGTGCTCAACTTGTTGGCTCAGTTCTGTTATTCTCTTCGGTCCCAAATCAATCGATGTACTCCTCGAAACATAATGACTACAAAGTAAGCATTTTCGAGGGAAACTGGGACTACCCATTAAATGAGTAAAATTTTACCCATTTATGAGTAATTACAACTACAAAAACAAGTAGTAAGTATTCATTTTTAAATAACAAATACTATTTTTACTCATTTAATGCGTAGTCCCAGTCTCCCTCGAAAATGCTCACTTTGTAGTCATTATTGGGTATTTTGCGATTACCGTGTAGCGAATTAAAACAAACATACTGCAGTACTAGAATTTCGCCTATAATGGGGAACAATGAGCGATGATCCTGTACTTGGTTGTATCAACAATCAATACGAAACTAACGATTTTAAATTGGCTCACTACTTGACTAGCCTATTGGTCCCAAGCAAACGATTAACGTAGCCCATTCTAGTCGAAATTCTACTACTACACAATGTTTGTTTTGATTCGCTATGAAAGTTTGACAGATAAAATGAGGGATAAGTGGATTTTCCTATGTTTCGAGGGGTGAATCGACTAGCTTGGGACCGAAGAGAGTACCAGAGCTGAGCCAAAAAGTTGAGCACGTTATGTCGGGACCTTCTAGTCTTAGAGTTACCTCTATGGTTGTATCGGATTTACTCTTGAGACTCTTCAGATCGCCAAGAACCCTTTCCTTCCACTCTTTCTGAACCATCTGCAGTGCTTCCTCATCGGTTTTCACTGCGATTTCGTCGGATATAGATCGATGAAGGGTTTAAAGTCCGGATGAGGATCGTACTCACCGGAAATATTGGGAGCTGTGTCTTCATCCTCCTCCTCCTCTTCGACTTCAGCAGTGTCGACTGTGTTGATGCTCTGGCTGAACAATCTGGGGTAGTTAGTGGTTGACAGCGTTTCCTTCGGAGCTGGAATTGGGAATCGGATGTTAATCGGTTTTTATCCAACAGGAAAGATATTTCCTATGTATGCCAGTGATTTCCCACAACGATTTCACGTTCTCCTCCGTGGACATCTGAAAACGATTCCTGTGGTTATTTTACGAGAACAAATCGCATTTTGTCCACCTACCTGCAGTTAATTCACATTCAACGTTTTGAAACGGAGAAATACGAACAAAAAGCACTTCCAAAACAATAACATGAGCCAATTGCCAGATGAAAATCCACGCCAATGCGCCCCCTTTCGAAGCTTTTCCAGCATCGTTCAAGCCATTTTCTGAACAAAATCTGGAATTGACATCGTTTCAATAGCCGAATTCTATTTTGTTTACAAACTAGACCTACGTCTAATATGTGAAAGGGATAAACGGAGTAAGCCAAGGAGTAACCAGACAAAAACATCGATGAACGTCGACTAAATTTTAAGGTACAGTGAGTTACTCGCGAGCTACTCGCTGCAAAAAAGCAACTCAGCGTAAAGCTGTCTCACCCCTTGGCGTCGGTAGCATTGGTGCTCAGCACGGAAAACAAAATCTAAAATTACTAAAATATTGTAGGTAATGAATGCAATAGTTTTAGTTCACTGGCTGTGGGAACAATAATGTTTATTTACTTTGCTTGCTTGCTACCCCACTTGACAGTTCGATTGGTACTTCTGGCTTCAGTCTTATTATAACATTGGGCCGTATGAATAAAAAGAGTTTACTTTACTTTCCCGTGCTTTTCTTACGGGAAAAGTAAAGTAAACGCTTTTATTCTTACGACCTATTGACTCTGTCGAGCATACACTGAGGCAAATAAACATAAGAATGTCATAAGGCTCAACTTATGAACGACACATATGGATTTCTTAAGAAAAAACTTATGAATGATTGTCTAACATGAGGGAGGTCTTATACGCCTTTAACCATTTCATTTGTTGAAAGACGAGTGGTCAACACACAGACACCGTAATCTCAACGTCCATGGTTCGGTTCCAGTCTGCTTCGTTTTATTTTGTGTTTTGTCAATATTATTTTTCATAAGGCAAATCGATGAAAGTCATACCGATTCCTTTTGTCGAAATTTCATAAGTGGTTCTTATGGGATTCAACCCTTCCTTTGCCTCAGTGTAGTAGAACTTTTATTTATTTATTTATTTTGTCCTCAATCAGATGTAGACCATTTTTTACAAGTTACAAGTCATGTGTGTGTGTGTGTGTGTGTGAGTACAATCCATCGCCCTCTGTACCGGCAGAGTTTTTATGGAAGAAACTTATCTGCATTTTCTGTATGTCGAATGTGCAAATATGTTTAGCCCTGGAGATGGAAGGTGACAGCTCT